ACATTTTGGGGGAAGGACTAAAGGAAAGGGCTCTCAAAGCCAACAATTCAGATCTCACCCAGTGAGAGTGCAGCCCTGCCCCCCCAAACATGGTCCCTGAGCTCCCAGCCTGCCTGAGGCTTGCCCAGGGGCCAGAGATGTCCAGCATCCCAGCAGAAGGCTCCAGTCCCAAGATCACCGTACAGCCCTGCCCGTTCCGTTTCCCTCATCCCCAACAAAGGACTTCAACCCCCAGGCTGCTAATAACAGAGATTTTAATGCATAAGGCACAGTGTGAGGCTGGGATCATTTAGCATCCTCATACCCCAAAGGCCCAGCATGTTGAGCAAAAGCGGCAGGGACCACCTCCCCACCACTGGGCACCCTGGGGAGTCCCTGGATCGAGGGGGCATCCAGTCTTTGGTATGGTGCCCAGGGGCAGGAAGTGACTAGCATGGTCCCAACTACCCCTCTGGGGGTACTGCCACCCACCAGCAGCTCTTTGGTTTGGAATAACAGTCAGTGCAGATGTCCAGGGAGAGAGTTCCGGGCAAGTCAAAGTGGCACAGTGCCCCAGGGCTGGGCAGTCCCTCACAAGCAACATGTGGGCTTCTTCTTGCTGGCAGTTAGGTAGAGGTTATTGTCGTCACTGTTGATGCCTGAAGAAGAGTGGGAAGTAAGTTTGCAGGGATTGGAGGCTCCCCATGCTTTCTGCCACCCTCATCCAGGTGGGAACTCACGGACAACATCCCCGATGCGCCGGGCCCCTGATTTCTCCAGCTCAGCCAGCACGTTGGCCTCGAAGGTCAGTGCCGCCACACGGAAAAAGAATTCCCGGACATTCTCACCTGACACAAGGAACAGGTGGGTGCTCAGGGGCAGTTCCAGCCTGGGTTCCCTGGGCACAGCTGGAGTTGTAGGAGCGAGAGGCCAGGTAGGCAGGAATGCCACGCAGAAGGCCTGACGCCCCTTACTCACCAGTGAGAGACGAGACTGCCCAGTACTCCGCCTTCATCTCTTGGGCCACCTTGAGTGCGTCTCGCTCCATTAGCACATACTGAGCAGGAGTCTGAGGGAAAGTCAGAGTCAGATGCGGAGGGTTCCCTCACCAAGTTGGGAAGGTCCCCCCACGGGCACACTCACACTCAGGTCCTTCTTGGAACCCACAAGGAAGAGAAGCACGCTGGAAGGGTCGTTCTCCTTGAGTGCATCAGCTAGCCACTGCCTGCCACAGACGGTGGACAGCAAGAGGTGAGGTGGGCAGGCTCCTGCCACTGACACTCATATGCTCAATTATCCTCTGCTCCTCGATGCGTTCTTTCCTTCCCTACCATGCCCCTGACCACCCCTCTTTTCTTCTCTTGGAACCCTCTCTTCCCAGAGCCCCCACATATGTCAGCACCCCCACATACTTGGTATGTTCCAGGGAGGCCACATCATTCAGGTTGAAGACAATGATGATGGCTGAAGAGTGGCAGAAACAGTCCCAGGTTGGTAAGGAGACGCTACTGGCTCATTTCCACAGCCCTCGGTTAGAAGCCTCCTCCCCCACTTCACCCAGCCCCTTACCTTGAGCTCCTCGGTAGTAGGTTGATGCAATGCATTTGAATCTCTCCTGTCCAGCGGTATCCCAGCTAGGAGGGAGGAGGGGTGACACAGAGGTATGGGGACAGGGGCGTAGGAGGGGTGTAAGCGCCAGAGGAAGAAACAGCTGGAAGAGGTAGAGCGGAAGAAGCACTCACAGCTGCAGACTGAAGGGGATGCCCAACACCTCAAATCGTTCCATCTCAAAGTCCACTCCAATGGTGGCCTTGTAATTCTTATCGAAGGTGTCTTTGCAGAACCTGAGGGAGCACCAGAGGCTCTGGCCCTTAGCCCAGCCCCTCTGGCTAGGCCTGGCCCTACCCTGCCCAGCCCAACCCAGTTCAGCTCCAGCACCCTCTTACCTATTAATGAGACAAGTCTTCCCCACCGACAGGTCCCCCACCACAATGACCTTGGAGATCTTAAATCTGCTGGACACAAGAGGAGGCAAGAGGAGTGGGCACTAGTTCTTTCACTCTAGGGAGTCCCAATGCAACCTAAGAGGTCTACAAAGGTAGTCACATCCAGGCTGCAGTTGCCAGTAGACACCAGGCCTCCTAGGCAGCTTTCTGGACAGATGTACCCGCTAGGAGTGTTTTGTGCTTTAGTATCAAAAAGACATAAATTTGAATCCCAGCTCTCACACTTACTAGCTGTGTGCCTTAGGACAAATTACTTGGTTTCTCTGTCTCAGTTTCAACATTTAAGTGGAGGTTTAGAATATATTTTCTTTGGGTAGTGAACACATGGTGGCAATACACAGATTTTGTAACATAGAAACCCACACCTAAAACCTATATGTCCCTGTTGACTAATATCACCCCAATAACTTTAATAAAATAAAAAAAGAATATCTTTTATTGGGTTGTTGTGAAGGTTAAAATGAGATAAATGTTCTATATTCTGAAACATACCCCCCCACACACACACACATATAAATTTTAATACCTCTGAAATCAGGGTACATCTTTAAAAGTGATGGGTGTTTAAGGGGGGGGAAAAGAAGGAGACATATGTAATATTCTTTGTGATACTTTAAGCAAAAAAAAAAAAAAGTGATGGGTGTTTTCCATTTAATAAAAGTAACTTAAAAAAAAAAGTTGCGTGACTGAAATAAGATGAAGTATCCAACACACTTTCTGGCACACAGTAGCTGCTACATTCATAGTGGCACCTGGTTATTAGGATTCCCTTAGGTATAAGCACAGCCCCCCCCCCCC